TTTCCAAAGAGTTACTCAGCCTTGTTACAATGTATATGAATGTAACTATCCCCAGCATTGTGACATTTCCATATTTGTGACTAAAGAGTTTCTAGGAATTTTTGTAAGAGTATATTAACTCCCTCAAAGACAAAAATTATAATAAAAGCCAGCTGTTTGTAAACAATTTTCTTGCTTTGTAAAAGTATCTTAAACTCTACCCAGCAAGAAACAATGTTACTAAATAGTCCATAAAAAGCAAAACTAAATGAGTAATTAATCATGGCCCTAAGGAAAAGGCCACTTTATACGGAGCTTTTTCAAAGGTATGTGGTTAGAAAACTTGCGAAGGAGTGCATTTCTGCTTTGGGTTCTTTTTCCTCTTTGCTTTTAAGTCATTCTTCTATATTTTTGCCACAGTGGGGTATGCTTGGCCCGCGGGAGAGGGACAGCAGTGTGCCGGGGAATGTGAGAGGCAGGCTGACATCTTTTCAATGTCCTTACCTAGGCTTGCACAGTGGGGAGGCTAAGGAACGCATGGGGTTAGAATGAGAAGGGTGGGGAGAGGGTTCTAGACGGCAGAGTGCCACAATGTTCTGGCTGTGAGGTTCTCCCTGTGGCCCAGGCCTCTGAGGCCAGGCCTGGCTCTGGGCAGAATGCTGGTGTTCCAAGATCATACATTGTGCTGGAAAGGCGGTGGCATTTTCCAAGTTAGTCAACACCTGCAGTGTGCACCATGAGAAGGGATTTCTGATTCAAACCAAACATTCAGATGATGATATCCCACATATCGTGTACATAAGGTGCCAGACTTGAGCACGGCTGTGCAACCCTAAAGGGATGCTGCTGCAGGAGCTCTCCTCACCACTACGCTGGCAAACACGGAAGGGCCACCAGTCCAGCTGGCAGCACGCGGGACAACAGGGCCTGCCTTACACGCACTCCTGGCCCGGGTCACATCTGTTTAGGGCAGGCTGAGCCAGCAGGAGGATGAAGATACACAGGGGGTTCCTGTGGCTCGAATGGGGTGGAGAAGCCCCTGATGTGCAGGAAGGAACTGCCAGGGGGCAGGAGCAGCCAGTCTCTGGTTCCAGTCTCTGCTTCTGGGAGCTAGGGGACCCTAAGC